ACACCCTCTCTGGTTCAAGTCCCTTCATCATCCTTGTAGCTCCAACGGAGAGCTACGAGGATGATGAAGGGAGTAGGTCCCAAGGAGACTCTGCACCCTCTCTGGGCAGCCTGGGCCAGGGCTCCGGCACCCGCACAGGGAAAAAGTTTTTCCCAGTGTTTTTGTGGAACCTCCTGAGCCCCAGCTTGCACCTGTTGCCCCTTGTCCTGTCACTGGACATCCCTGAGAAGAGCCTGGCTCCGTCCTCCTGACGCTCCCCCTTGACATATTTATCAACATGAATGAGGTTTTGTTTTAAAGGTTATCCCCAGAACTGAATCCCTGTGTCAGAGGGTGCTTCTCTCTCTCTTTTGTGAGTTTGGGAGACAGCGAAGATGCAGAGCACCGTGCCGGCTGCTCTTGTTTGGGAGCACGAGCTGTGCCTCTTGCCTTTTACTTAGCAAGATGTTTCCTGGCTGCTCTGAGGACACAGACGAGCCCCTCTGAGCATCCACCCGAGCCCTGGTGACATCTTCCCTGGAGTGGGAGGGGCTAAAAATTCCCACTTTTGCCCTCGTGTGATCTGCACACTCCTTTCTCCCCTGCAGCCTTCTCAAACTCTGCTTTTTGCGCAGACATCCTCATCGTGAAGCTGCGGAAGGGGCAGGAGCTGAGGCTGCGGGCCTACGCCAAGAAGGGCTTTGGCAAGGAGCACGCCAAGTGGAACCCCACGGCCGGCGTCGCCTTCGAGTACGACCCGGACAACGCGCTGAGGCACACGGTGTACCCCAAACCGGAGGAGTGGTAAGTCCTGGTGCCTGTCTGGAAAGGATTTCCCAAAAGGCACCGACATTTCCGTGCTGGGGAACGTAATTCAGGTCGGGAAGTGATCAGGAGCGTTCCTGTCGCTTCCTCTTGTGGATTTTACAGCCCTCTTTGTTTGAGGGAGCCCGGCGTGTGGCTCTGGTTTTACCCACACGTCTCACCCCAGGAGTGTGAGCTCTGGCAGCTCTCTTTTGTGAGCTGGCCCTTTGCTCTGACGTCGTTTTGCACCGGTAGCGTGCTGCCTCTTATTTAAAAGTAACGTGATTTTGCACTTGATGTGCTGCTCAGCTGCTTTGTCCAGGGCGAGGACTTCACCGAGCAGCGCTTTTTGGTGAGTAGATCCTGAGCTGCACCTGGCTCTGTGGCCCGGTGGCCGCCCGGTGATGTCCTTTCATCGAGCTCCCCAGAGGTACAGCCAGTCTGAATTTCACACCTCAGCCACACCACTGGAGGTTTCTGCTCGGGAGTGGCTGGATTTGCACTCAGGAGACTTGAGAAGCCTTTTGGTGCTGAGGGTGGAGATGCGGGCGAATCCATAATGTGGAATCTGCCCACAGCCAGCCCAGCCCTGTTGTACAGACCGAAGGAGCGAACCCTGCTTGGCTTTGGTGGGCTCCGTGGGGCACGTTTGTGGGTCCGGTTCAGTCAGTCTGCGTGAGAACGGGACGTGCCGGGCTCCTTCTGCACTTCGTCGGGGCGGTGCTCTGGGATCTGTGGTAGGAACCGGGTTGGCTGGTAGCGCTGGAAACCTGGCAACGGGCATTTTCCTTCGTGTTGATGAGTCCAAGACACATGGACTGAAGCTGGGCTGTGGAAACCGCCAGATCCAGGCAGGGCTGGGAAGCGGAAGGTCCCCGAGAGGCCGGTTGCTGTGAGGCGTCGCACGAACTGACGTGCCGGCCCGTCCTTTGTCACAGACAGTTTTGGGGGTGGAACTGGATAGTTTTGAAGCTCCCAAAGGATTGGCAGCAGGGAAATCATTTGGAGAG